GGCAGAATGGGTCAAGAAGCAAGATCCAACAATATGCTGCATACAAGAAACACACTTAATTCAAAAGGAAACTCATAGACTGAAAGTTAAAGGGTAGAAAACAATACTCCATGCGACAGGAACCCAAAAAAAAGCAGGAGTAGCTATCCTCTTTGCAGATCAAGTGGATTTCAAATGAACACTGAATAAAAGAGACAAAAAAGGACACTATATCCTTCTAAAGGGAACAATCCAAGAGAAAGAGATAACAGTCATAAATATATATGCACCAAACACTAGTGCACCCAGCTATATAAAACAAATACTAATGGACAAGAGATGCAGATGTTCAATAAAAATAAAAACGTTCAATATCACTGGTCATTAGAGAGATGCAAATGAAAACAACACTAAGATTCCACCTCACCCCATAAAGAATGGCTGCTATCAAGAAATCAACCAATAACAAATGTTGGCGGGGTTGTGGGGAGAAAGGAACCCTTCTCCACTGTTTGTGGGAGTGCAGACTGGTGCAACCACTGTGGAAATCAGTGTGGAGATTTCTCAAAAAACTAGGATTAGAGGTCCCATTTGACCCAGCTATTCCTCTGCTGGGTATCTTCCAAAAAATATCACACCAGAGCGATATATGTGCACCCATCTTTATAGCGGCACAGTTTATAATAGCTCCAACTTGGTACAAGATCCCAATGATGAATGTAACTGTACTGTATACCTAAAATGTATCAATAAATTTAATGAAAAAAAAACCAACAGCAATAACACACAAACATGCCATTCTAAAAAGAGAGAGTTCCTGGTTCTTCAAAATGTGGACATGTAGCTGCATACCAATATTTAAACTGACAACTTTCTGGAATCCAAATTTCTTAATTCTCAAAACTAGAGGATTTTCTCCCTTTAATATGTGGTACAAATAAAAAGTCATTATTGCCATTCAAAAAAAAGAGGGGCCCTAAAATTCATATGGAGCCAGAAGAGACCCAGAAGAGCAAAAGGAATCCTGAGTAACAAGAGCAGACCAGGAGGCATCACAGTCCCAGACCTCAAGTTATATTACAAAGCTACAGTGATAAAAAAACAGCATGGTACTGGCTATAAAGACAAACAAGTGGGGCTAGGGATTTAGCTCAGTGGTTCCGGTGTCTGCCTCACAAGCACAAGGTCCTGAGTTCAATCCCTGGTACAAAAAAAAAAAGTGGATCGATGGAACAAAATAGAGGATGCAGAAACAGTCCCAGGCACATTCAGCTATCTGAGCATTACTAAGGGGCCAAAAACATACTGGAGGAAAAGATAGTCTCTTTAACAAATGGAGCTGGGTAGACTGACTATCTACATGCCAAAGACTAAATTTAGACCCATGTCTCTGACCATGCACTAAAATAAAATCAAAATGAAACAAAGATCTAAATATTAAAATGAAAATATTTAATCTGCTAGAAAATAAAATAGGTAAAGCTCTTGAAGACATAGGCATAGGCAAGGACTTTCTGAAAAGAACCCTAAAGGCATAAAAAATAGCACTAAGACTCATCCAATGGGAGCACATCAAATTTAAAAGCTTCTACATAGAGAAGGAAACAAACAACAGAGTGAAGAGACAACCTTCGGAATGAGGAAAACTTTGCCGGCTACTCCTCACACAGAGGACTAATATCTAGAATATATAACAAACTCAAAAAAAAATTAGACCCTCCTAAAATAAAAAAAACTAATTTTAAAAATGGGCAATTGAAATGAGTAGACACTTCACAGAAGTACAAATGCCCATTAAATACATGAAAAAAGGCTCGACATTTCTATCCATTAGAGAAATGCAAAATAAAAGAACACTGAGATTCCATCTTACTCTAGAAAGAATGGCTGTCATCAAAACATAAGCTAACAAATGCTGGTGAGGCTGCGGGGAAAAAATGAACGCTTCTTTACTGTTGGTGGGAATGTAAACTAGTACAACCATAATGAAAATCAGTGTGGTGATTCCCCAAAAAAACTAAAAATAGAAATTCCTTTTGACGCAGCTATTCCCCTTCTAGGTGTTTTCCCAAAAGAGTTAAAGACATCACACCACAGTGATGTAGGCATACAATTCCTAATAGCTAAATCTTGGAAGCAGCCTATATGTCCAACAACAGATGAATGGATAAAAGAAGGATACACTTGAGTCATTTGTAGGAAAACGGATGCACCTTGTGACCATAATGTTAAGAAAAATAAATTAGACACACAGGCTTAACTATCACTTGGTTTCTGTTACACAAGAAACACAAAGTAGACATAAAGAGCAAAATAAAAAAGAGAGAATAGGAAATAGGGAGATAGCTCTTTCTCAAATGGGAAGGGGACCAAGAGATGAAGGGAGGTTAGAGAGGAAGGGAAGGGGATGAGAAAAGATTTAAGATGTGTTATGTACAGGTACCAATTCCCTATGAGGAATGAAATCTTTACTGCTAACACGGACTAATACAAAATGGAAACTAAAAAGATAAAAGAGGTGATTAGGCCATGTGGACTCCTTACTTGTGAATGAAATGAAATCCCTCATCCGAAAAGGTTCTGCCCGTGATTGGTCCTTCTGCCCTTCCTACCTCTACATGTGAGGACACAATTCTTCTCCCTCCAGGAGACTCAGCTAGAAGTTCACCATCTGCAGCCTGCAGGGTGG